TCCCCTCCACTTAACCCATTCCAACTAATGTTATTTTAGCTCATTCACCTTACATAAACTATCCTTAATTTTATCGGTTGAATTTCAACCGCTGGGCGAACACTAGTTAAATAAAATTAAGTTAGATTAAAATTAATTGAATAAAAGAAAATTAAATTTAATTTAATTAAACTAAATGAATTTAAACTAAGATGAATTAAATTAAATTATACTAAATTAAATTAATTTAATTTAACCCAAATAAACTAAATTAAAATCAAATTAAATATAATAAATTAAATTGAATCAAATGAGATTAAAACAAAATAAATTAATTTGAATAAAATTAAAAATAAAATGGCATAACAGGAAAGAAATGATATTGAAATCACTAGAATGAGATGAAAAAAATATTATGAAATGGAAAAGAGAATTAAGTTCAATGTAATTAAATGAATTTAAAGCAATCAAATTGATTGAAAAGTTTTAAAAATATATCAATCTCAAAAACTTGAGTTATGTGAAATTAACTAACTTAATTGGAATGAAACGAATTTCAGTGAAATGAAACATATCAAAAAATATACACATATATATAAGAGGCCAAGGGTAGCGAAAGCTTGCATTATACTTAAAAAATAAAGAAATGTGAAAAAGTAATTTTTCTGTGTAATTTCAATCGAATTGCATTTGCTTTGCCAATTTTTCCCCTAAGCATCAATTGCACACGCTTTCTCTCGTTTAAGAATTATGAAAAATCTAATAAATGCTAAACATTTCTACAAAAAAAAAAAAACGTTTTCTGTGCGTTTTTCACTTTGAGCACAAAAATTTACTTAAGCTTCGATGCGCTTTTAATTTTACTCGTAACACATTTTTTAATCCAGATCTTGTACATGCGCCTGCACACACACACATACATACGAGTACATACTTATCTACGTGTTATTATATTTGATTATAAAAAAATGCGATGATTGCGTTAAATGCTGTTTTTTTTTTATATAAAAATTGCCTGCATTTTTCACGCTTTTTGTGTAAATTTCCTTTGACGTGCAGTGATTTATTGCTTTCTATTGTTTTTGTATAAGAAAATATTTTAATAAGAATTTATTGACGTTGCTTGCATTTTGCTGACGGAACTCAGAGCTTTTGCCTCATCGTGACCGTGCTTTTTTATGGTATTTCAGCTTAAAAGTTGTACTTTTTTTTTTGTTTGGTATGGGCTTCCTTGAGCATGGGTGCGCTTTTGTGTGTATGTAGCTGTTTTATGGCACGCACATTTTTCCATTATTAAAATGCAGTCCATCGGAAAATGCTGTAATCAAAGTAAATAAGAAAAAATTATGTGAGAAAAATTGGCAGATTAATTGAGGCGAAAAAGTACATAAAATACATCGTTGAGCAGATTAAGTAATATTCGATAAAAAGTGCTGAGCCAATATTTTGTACATAGACATATAAGTAATGCCGAATTTTCCACTAATCATTGAAATGAAAAAAAGTTGGTGCAGTTTAAAAAATGTCATGTGGAAATGAACATAATGACGAATATTTTCAATGACCAACTTTACGAATGCAATATTTGCCACTTTATGTCTAGTGGAGATCCAGCATAAGCATAGTTTAGATAAGAAGTAATTTTTAGCAAAAAAAAACCGACTTCAATTCTCGTATAAAAAAAAATATATATATATATATATCTCATGATCCCATGATCGGATCAAAACCAGATTGGTATGAGACCACATCTGAGACACTACCTTTCCGATGCAAAATCGGTTGACGTGGTCCAAAGTTATGCGGTAACATATATGAAAGAAAAAAAAAGTATTCCGAAGAACTCACCACTGCAGAGTACTGTATTTAAGCATTAGCTAAGGTTTTTGTACATAGAGGCAGCATATATAATCCTTAAAGGAAAAATAGGTTCAAAATGCATACTTTTGCAGAGAGCGACAGTCTTCATAAACGGAATATTTGAGAAGTCCAGCAGCTCGTTTCTGTAGAAATTCTGTACGAATTCATATAAATATGAACAGGACGAATTGAAGTTCGAAGGTTATTTAAAGTTTGCAAAAAAGTCGCTTCCGGGAAAAATGTCACAAACAAGAGTTACGTATTTGAACCCTCGGAATCCGAATCTGCAGCCATAATAGGTACACTTGTGGTCAGCTGATTAATTCAATTCACATTTTGTCTAGTTTTGTCTATTTTTCTTTTGTTTATTTAGTGTTTATATTTTTTTATAAAAGTTTAACACTTTACTTAACCAGCGCCACATAAATCCATATTTAAAATTTCGTACAAAAATTATGAAAATTCAACAAATAGTTTAATAATTGCACCCAAACATTTTTAACTTTTTACTTAGAGATTCTAGAAGAATTTTCTGTATGCAGTTGTGAAGCTTATTAAATTTTACTTGGTAAAGTGCAAATTTTAAGACGACAGAAAATCGCGTTGATTTTTAAATATTTTTTTTTTGCTGAAGGTGCCAGGCTTTTCTCTTATATAAACGAAATTGTCGAGCACACTTTATATGGAAGAAAATGCACAACACCGTCAGACCGTCACTGGCAGGGTAAGTCGAATTAAAAAAAATAGCCTTCCGATCAAAAGATAAAGCATCCCCGTCATATTTTAGCGGTTATGGTCTAGAAAAATTTTCAGGCGAAATTATGTGTTTTTTTAGTCACTAAATTAAATTAATGAA